CAAGCGGGGTGTGGGGGGGTGGGAGAGGGAGAAGCAGGCTTCCCGCTGAGCAGGGAGCCCGATGTGGGTCTCGATCCCAGGACCCTGGGATCATGACCTGAGCCGAAGGCAGACGCTTAATGACTGAGCCACCCAGGCGCCTCTGTTTTTAAAACTATTCTTAAGTACAATGTCAGCAAAGGGTGGCAGGAGATGAGGCTGGAAACATTGGCAAAGACCAGATCACAAAAGACCTGGTATGTTTTCATGTGGAGTTTTTACTTGGTCTTGTACATAGAAGGGTTTTAAATAAGTGAGTGAAATGGTCAGATTGGCATTTTTGATCAGTTAAATGGCAACAAAATGGAAAGTGGACCTTAGGAATAAGACTGGTGGCAAAATGACTAGTTACACTAGGTTCGAAAAGGAATTATGAAGTCTTAATGCAATCACAGTAAAGATGGAAAGTTGAGCAATATTGCTCAACTCTAAAACTTGGATGACTTGATAGTTAAGATTTGGAGAACTACATGAATGATGGTGCCACCAGCTAAAACAGGGAAGAGCAGGTTTCAGGAAAGAATTATTTTGTACAAATTGAGCTTGAGATACTAAGGGGCACCCAAGATGTTGAGCAGGCAGCTACATGATGGGTCAGGAATTGTCAGCATACAGTTTGAGAGGAAGATTATCCAGAGGAAGCATAACAACTGGGAAGGGAACTGGGCTAAGAAGTAACTTGTAAGTTTAGTCCAGTTGCTGCTGGGTGAGGGGAGAAATGGAAAACTAGTCAGGGAAAATATATAAGCTGAAAAGCAGTATTGGGAATCCAATTAAGACTGGAAGCCATAATACCCTAGTGGCACCAATCCACACTACTATACAAAATTTTTCAGTAGTAGTCAACTTCCCAGATGTATAAATAGCAAAGATAGACTGTGACATTAAACTAGGTTTGTGATTTTGCAAGACTAAGATAGTAGAATGACTAAGGTGGACAGGAGTACAGGACACCAGCAAGAGAGTAGTTCCAGTGACTGACTATGAAGTCCAAACTTAGAAGGAAGGAAGCGAAGACTGAAGGAGGTTGATAAACTGGGAGAAAACCAAGGGAGTAGTATACAAGGAGGAATGGAGTAAAAGCTGGAGGACAGAAGATCAGAGAGAAGGATATTCATTCAAGGTTACATGAGTAAGGAAGTTTTATGGTATAGTCAATGGAAGTGAGTGGATGAAATGGAAGCAAAATCACAAGAGTAGACGTCAAGAAACAGGCTTCCGTATAAGGCAAGTTGGTAAGGTGTTAAGAGTCTAGAATTAGAACTTATGACACCCATGTACAAGTTTTGACTCTAGCATCACTAGTTAGCTATGTTACCTAAGGCAATGTTAATGTTTTTGGGTGGTTTTGAAAAGATTCCTTCCTCTCATCAAAAAATGTTTACTAAGCGCCTCCTATATGTCAAGCAGTATACTATGCTCTAGGACTGTTTCTGTCCTCAAAGAGCTTATACTCCTTAATGGATGTTAATGTATTTTTGTTTAATATTATAGAAATGTTAAGATGATTCTGGAAAGTACTCCTTTGGAAAAAAAGTAAGATAATGAAGCCTGCTTTCAGAATTCTAAGACTATACTTTTCATGAAGAGATTTTTGGAAATCAAGGTATACTAAAATCAATATGAAAGCACAAAACTGTAACAGAACAGTAGAAAGAACATCATGATGTTGATTGTGGTCTCATTGTTTCATTTTCCTCATTTTTAAATGTGTTGCTGACTTTGGCAGGCTATTTTGAGAACCAAATGAGCTAATGGCTGTGAAAACTCTATGACAGACTACATGCTATACAATAAAAGTACTACAGAAGATTTACTTGCTATGTTCTTGCTTTGTTTCCTTTAGGTAAATCAACACTCAATAATCCTGAGTAGAGAGGCTGAGATCTGAAGATGGGATTATCAAGAAAAATAGCATATCCTGAATTTCTTCAAGAATATATTTCAAAATTGTAAGCACTTTTGCACTAAAAAATGAAAGAAAATCTGTCAGATGGTGTTTCCTGTGTTAAATTCTGCTGTTAACTTACAGATCCTCTAACTAGAAGCATTATGCATACCAGTATGCGTATACTCAACACTGCTGTGTGCTTTGCCTCTATTACAGCTCTTACCACACTGTACCATAAGTGTTTGCTTGTATGTTAATTAGACTATGAATTCCTGGTGGATAAGATCCTTGTCTCACTCATCTTTGGTATCCCTAGAGCACAAAATAGCTCTAAATGCAAAGCAGACTCTCAAAATATAGTAGATGAGTGAGTGGATGAATAAATGCTAGGTAATATGGGAAACTGTCCTTAATCTTGGGCAGAGAGAGACACACTTCTACATAATTATTTGCAATATCATGCAATAAATATTACATTGGGAATAATTAATTTTATCATAGGGTGGTAATGAAAGGCTTACAAAATAGCTGATATTTTGGCTAATCAATTAGTTAGTATGAAATTCAATTAATATTTTAGAATCCAGTTGTGTCATAATAATATACTGTTTATGGACATCGCAACAGAATGTACAAAAGCCCATCATCCCTTGTAGGTAAAGTTGATAAAAGTATACCCTTCAAAAAAAAAAAAAAAAGAGTAAAGACAATCTCTGGCCCACAACTGAAGGAACAGAGAAGATATGAAGGATTTAATGCTGTTAAAGAAATAAGACTAGAACACTTAGAAAGAGAAAGGTCACTAGAGTCTAGAAATTGGTCAAATGAAATAAGCATTTATGGGAGTCAAGTTTCATATGATAAAAGTCCTGAGAGAAATAAATACATTATTAGTAGAATGCTCCATACATTTAATAAAAAATTTAATGTTGGGAGTACAGCAGCGAATAACATGTATATATATAAAAAACATCCCTTCCCTATGGATCTTACATAGAATGTTCTCAATGGGATTTATGGATTTCAGTGTTCCTTTGATAACTTTTTCTTTGTTTGCAATGTACACACATTTTAAGATATAAAAATGAAATGTAAAAATGGAAAATAAACTCATGATATATGTCTTGCTAGTAAAAGAACAACTACTTTGAGTTTTGTTTTTTTTGTGTGAAAGAAGCTCAAAGTGCTTTTGAGTATATGGATCAAATTCTAACAGGTTTATTAGTCCTTTTGAAGGTATAATTTCAGCATACTGAGATGACCATTATACTGTATTATTTCAGTTTCCTAACAACTAACATTTGAACAGTGCTTCAGAATTTATATATAAATATATATATAAACATATATATATTTAAGATTTTATTTATTTGAGAGAGAGCACAAGCGGGGCGGGGGGGGCAGAGGCAGAGGAGAAGCAGACTCCCCGCTGAGCAGAGGGCCCCTGGGACTTGGTCCCAGGACCCTGGGATCATGACCTGAGCCGAAGGCAGATGCTTAACCAACTGAGCCACTCAGGCGCCCTACTTCAGAATTTATAAAGCACTTTCACATATCGCATAATTCTCACAATTTTCTTGGGTAGATATTGCTCACCTTTTTCCCCCAGAAGAAAAAGCTGAAGCTCAACAAAGACCACTCAGTAAATAACAGGGCCAAAACTCAAGCTTATTCCTGTGACCCCAAATTCTGTTACCTTTCTCCTTGCCTGATAAAAAAAAAAAAAAAAAGCTTTCATGCACTCTACTGCATTTGATACTCATAATGTTTGATCTATTTCTTATGAAATTATTATTTATCTCCATTTTAAGATGAAAAATACAAAAGTTCAGAGAACTTAAGTAACTTGCCCAAAGTAAGTCAGCAGGTGGAATTGAAACGTTTCCAGTAACAAACTTCATGTATATTGCAATCAACTTTAAAGGCTGAAATATGGAAATACTAATACATCAATCCACCTTATTATAATTTTAGGTAGACCTATACGAAGGATAGCACAAAGATTTTTTTATATTTCCTACCTCCTGCTTTAGGTAATAATTCAGCTCCACATGCAATACAATAAAGTCCTGACTGGCAAGGCAAGTTACTTTGGTCCTTTTACAAGAGATGAAAGAGATCAATGTTTGAAAGAATGTTAATATTTAGATATAAATACCATAACAACAGTTTGAAAAAAAGGGAAAATATACCAACACTATACTTGATTCAAAATAACAATCAGTATTTAATATCTTTAAATCTTCCAACTATACATGAATCATAAATAAGAGATGATGGCATCTAAGTTTAGATTTATAAATGATATGCCACTTGTACAATTTAGTACTTTATAATAGCAAAGAGCCAAATGAAACATTTTAATATTGAGTTTTATAAATATCGATATAAAATAATTTTATGTAAAATGACAGGATTTGGGGGAAAACCATGAGCATCAAAGTCATATAAATTGCTTGAAAAAGGAAGACCAAGATAAAAAAAAAATGCAAATTTATTATAAAAAAGCACTGAAGTAACTACCTGATTATGCTTTGTTAAGAAAATACTTTTAATCAGTATTTACCATTAGATTTTCAAAGGTTGATTTCTGGCAATAGTAAGTTTCATGCAGCTTTTATTTTTCTTCCAATACATTGAAGCTTGTTTATTACAAAGTGGAATTTGGTATAAGATGGGTTGTTTTGGACCTTGTCCAAGAGTTTAGTTACTGAAAGCACTTCATTATAAGGTGGTTTCACCAATAAGGTGATCCACTGGCTCAGATCCCATGGATATTATAACAAGGCTCCATTGTAGAGTACAGGAAGCTGGGCAGCTAATGTTCTATCAAATGAAACCTTAAGAAACACAATTCCTTTTTGGGGGTAGACATGAAAATCGCTTAAGCCCAGAGAATCATAAGCCTAGGTCATCTGTCTAAATTTCCATTTCCTGAAGTGATGTTCTTTATTGTACATTTAATAGCTGCGCATCTACTTCATGTTACGGTTTTAGTGTAAGACATTCATTGTCTGATGAGGTCTTAAATTTATTTTTTATTATGAAAAAGTCCAGTATTAATACTGCCTTTCTATTTATAAAAGATTGACTGCATTTGTCTATGGAATAGATAAGAAACTACCAAGAATTCATAAAGGTTAAAGTAAAATCTTGTGCAGCTCATTGATAAATCTGAGGTATGAGCAAGGATAATTGTGTTGTAATCAAACACAAAAATATGCCATCACTTAGAGATTAAATAACTACAATAACCAGTCTTTCAAGTGATTTTACAAGAGGGACTTTGATTTCATGAAGTCTTAATAAGCAATCCTAAAGAATTAAATATTTTGAATGTATTTTACTTCAGAAAAATGACAGTCACTGTAGAAAAATATTAAAAATTTTTAAAAATATTAATACAAAGATCTTAAGAATAAAAACAAAGCCTCATGTGAACTTACAGTAGCAAATTAAAAATCATTTAATAATTAAGTGCATAGTAGCAGCATAGTAAGAAGTCATTAATTTCCAATACCCTTATAAAAAGTTTTAAATGACTTATCTAAATTTCAAAAGTCAAGTCATAAAACATCTACTCTTTATGTTGTACCTTTCTTCCATCAATAAATCTCTTTCTCCAACTGGAAGTTTTCCTGGTTCCTGGCCGGTATGCTCTATATACTTTCAGGCCTTAAATAAATTTGGTATAAGATAATTATTTCATATCCATTGAGTGGGTAAGGCAAATTACCTGATAAACAATTTCTAACATATATCTCCAAAGCCTTAAGAAATAAACTAGCCAAATAATTTCTCCTTCCTATTATGTAATAATTCTTTATTGTCAGTTTATCTCCCTATCTCTTTCTTTAAGATTTTATTTATTTACTTGACAGAGAGAGCACAGAAGCAGGGGGAATGGCAGGCAGAGGAAGAGGGAGAAGCAGGCTTCCTGCAGAGCAGGGAGCCGGATATGGGACTCAATCCCAGGACCCCAAGATCATGACCTGAGCCGAAGGCAGTTGCTTAACCAAGCCACCCAGGCGCCCTCTATCTATCTTTCTATCATAATCAGGGAAATCTTCACATAAAGCAAGGGTGTGTGTACTTCAGATATAGGATTGATTCACTAGCTAATATTTGAGGGTCTGCCATGTGCAAAATACTCTTAACTTCATGTTTTAAGGGCGTCTGGGTGGCTTAAACAATTGGGCAGCAGACTCTTGATTTCACTTTGGGTCATGGGAAGGAGCCCGGAGTTGGGCTCCACGCTCAGTGCAGTCTGCTTGAGGATCTTTCCCCCTTTCCCTCTGCCCCTCACCCCACTCACGTGCTCTCACTCTCTCAAATAAAAATCTTTAAATGCTTTCACATGTTTTAACTTAGTCTCCAAAACATCTTTTAAAAGTACATTATTACTAATTAAAATGTTCTACCTCCTACTCTATTATAAAGACTGGTGTTTCATTATTTTTTTAAAGATTGATTTATTTATTTGAGAGAGAGAGAGAAGGAGGGGGGCAGGGGCAGAGGGACAGGGAGAGAATCCCAAGCAGACTCCTTGCTGAGCGCAGAGCCCGATGTGGGGCTGGATCTCATGACCCTGAGGATCACGACCCGAGTCGAAATCGAGTCAGACACTTAACCAACTGAACCACTCAGGTGCCCCAAGGCTGGTACTTAATTTTTTAGTACTTAATTTTTTAAAAAATCTTTTAAAGATTCTACTGACTTATTTAGAGAGAGAGTGTGAGCGAGCAGAGAGGGACAGACTCCATGCTGAACCCGACCTGGGGCTTGATCCCATGACCCTGAAATCATGACCTGAACTGAAATCAAGAGTTGGACACTTAACTGACTGAGCCACCCAGGTGCTCCATAAAGGCTGGTACTTATATTCTTGCAATATTATCTTGGTCATAGTTGCTATCTTTGGAAACTCTATACCTGTTTCAATAGTGAGATCACTGCACAAAATTTTTGAAATACCTTTTGGAATCGCTAAATGCTAGTGTCACATCTCTACATAATTCTCAGTTAATGGAAATTTTTAGCTTCAGAGAGAATTAGATTTTGGAGAGAATAAATTAGAGGTTAATATGGATAATACATCAAGGTATGACTAAAAAATATTGGCTTAATTTTTCTCATGTAGTTTACCAATTCTTCTAAAGGCAATTTTAAGGGTCAAAAATGTTTTCATTGAAGCACTGTTAAAAATAAATATCTTGCTTCTCAAGTTACTAAGCAGCATATTCAGTTATTCCTTAAAGGTAGATAAAGTGTCATTTCACTTTTTCTACAAAATGGTTTACTTTATTTTAAGCATTCTGGAACAAAAGCAAATGAAAACTGACTCAGTAACATATCAACATATATTTCTTTAAACTACGGATTTTTATTTTTTATTTTATTATTTTTTTAAGATTTATTTATTTGACAGAGACACAGCGAGAGAGGGAACACAAGCAGGGGGAGCAGGAGAGGGAGAAGCAGGCTTCCCGCCAAGCAGGGAGCCCGATGCGGGGCCCGATCCCAGGACCCTGGGATCATGACCTGAGCCAAAGGCAGACACTCAACGACTGAGCCACCCAGGCGCCCCTAAACTATGGATTTTTAAAGCTGCAAGGGATTTACATGATTTTATAGTACTAAATTCCACATTTAAGGGATGAAACTAATTTCTCAAAAGGCATGGTGATTGCCAATGTGACTTAGCAAATTAGTGGCAGAGCCAGGATTAGAGCACAGTCTCTTGTCTTCCCCCTGGTATTCTTTCTACGACCCCACTACCCTTATCTGTGGATTAGGGACTATACCAGAAAGGATAAATGGTTTCACCCTTTTAAAAACAATTTAGAAATTATCTTCTATTCTAGTGTTTATAACTTATTACTCACTGATCAACTAAAGAAAATATATAATACTAGGGATCTAATATATCCTAATCTATAGATGAATTCTTTAACTGGTAGGTTATCAATTCAAATTTCTTTGAACTATGCTTACAGTTGTACTATCTAATGCTATAGAAACAAGCTGTATTCAATCTAAACACCCTCAAAATAAAAGCAAATATATACATATATAATAATAATTCATTTACCCAAATGAATATATAAAATACTTGACTGCTGGGAATTTTGACTTGAAAATAATAAACCACATCCACAACTTGACAACTCATAACATTTCAATTCAAATCACCCACACGAAGCCTAAATGTGCACTGAATAACAATGTTTCTTAGGAAAAGATGAGTGAATATATTTCTGGAATGATGACAGAGAAGTGCATCTTTTATAACCATTATTGATCAGAAGTATAGCTTCATTCACAAATACATAAAAAGTCAAAATTTACAGAAAAATTAGTGAACAATAAGAGAACATTTTTCGGCTGCAGTTACATGTTTGGGTTTACTTATAAAATTTATATATGAAGTTTTCTATCCTGTTTCATAATTATAGCCTTCATGCTAGAACATGTCACTTTTTTCCACAATGATGATGAAGCTAAATAATTAGAATTGAAAATTAGGAGTCATTCATTTGGCATTTTGTAACTTTACATAATTTGCTTAAAATGTGCTTGATTTTGGTTCATCAAAAACAGAAAAATGTAAAGCAATATCAAATAAAAACACAGTTTTCTTCTGAATCCTTAATTGCTTTTAAGTAGGCAGTTTAATATGGGAATAAACTTTTTAAGAAAACTTTGATTTCTAAAATAATATACTGATTTGAGGTAAATATATAGTGAAACATGACTGAGGTGTGACTGGATTAGACTGCTATTCATTTTTATGTATCAGTATGAAAATAAATGGATGAAGAGGACTATAAAATACAAGTATTTATGTGAAATTTAAAGGAAAAGACATATCTTTCAGATTAATTTTAAATTGTTTATAGGTAAAGAAAACTTGTTAGAGGAAAATATTTTGTACGTATCACTTTTGTCAAAACTCAAAAACAATAAAACTTACATTCTGAACATAAGACTTTTTAAAAACTCTAATACCAAAGAATTAAAGTGAAAAATATTTTTAAAATAAAAAACTTATACCATTTATCCAATGTAGAAATTGTCATTAAGCATGACAGCATATATTTATAGTGTTACAGTTAAGTATCATTACCTAACACCAGGGAACACACCTTTATTTTTGGAAGGAGACTGTTTAAACTTCTTTATATCTGTTTCACAAGTTTTCCCCAGTTCCAATTCGTTTATATGAGTTGTTTTTACATTACATTACTACCAATGTTATCGATTTTACTTTCTTTAATATGCATGAGTCTATTCAACTTTGTGTCTGTGCAATACTCAGCTTTCATTTCTTGGACTGAATCCACTCCTTTCATAGTTCTAATTTCAAAAAGATCTTCAACTAAAATGCAATTTGAATGATTAGCCAATCTATTGTCTCTATCACTTTCAACTAGATCATTCTTTTCTTCATTTGTATCCATAGGATCATAAAGCTCAGGTGAAAAATAGATAGATTCATCCTCTGCTTCTGTTTCAGAAGCTCTATGTGAAGTAGAAAGTTCAGCTTCTTCACCAACTAGAGACAATTCAGTGTCCGGATCCAGGGCTTCTTCACAGCAGAACAGCTGTTTGGAATCATTTCTTTTAAGAAGATTAGAATCCATCTTTATTGAAGAAATAGTGCTTTCTGATTGAGGGCATGGTCCAAATGATGCGTTTACCGTCAGAGATGAGGACTCACATTTATCAACGAGTGGCAAAACTGTTTTACATCCCTTTTCTGTTTTGAAAGTGGAGACACTAGAGGTATAGTCCTCTGGTGACCTGAACTTAGGTGCTGCAGTCAGAATTTCACCAGTAAGACAATGTCCCAAAGAATTAAAGCTAGACCAGCTAGCTCTCTTTGTCTGTTTGCTGAAGGTTGGGCTTGTGGACCTGGAAATCACAATTTTTTCTGCTTTCACTGCCTGGGCAGACTCTTCCAATAATACAGGATCATCTATGAATACAAAAATTTAAGAGTGTTAATTTTCTGCTCCTAATATAATAATTGTCACATTAATGTAATTTTTGTTAAAAATACTGAAATAACCGTATAGGATCATAATTTAAAGCCCACAATTTAAAGCAAGACTTCCATCTTAGAACATAAAGCACAAAATGTGAACTCTGAAAGGATTCCTAGGTCTCCAGTGATTCTGAGCCCAAGTTATAATGCTGTCTGGTAAACTATCAAATTCCACACTAGGGACCTCAGCAGTGAATGAAAAAAGGAGGGGTAAAAAGGAATAGGAAGAGGGCTGAGTAACGGGGGAAATACACTATAAAAATCTGCCTTGAAAATCCACTAGCCAAGTATTGGGAAAAATTGACCTAGATTAATTCCCTAAAGGAAACGGGCAACCACAAAGACTAAATTATTTGTTTAAAGTTATAAAACTGGTTAGTACTCAGATCCAAACTAGAACTTAGGTTTCCTAATTACCAGTCTAATGGCCTTGAATTCACTATGACATTTATTTTTTATTTATTTTTTATTTATTTTTTTAAAGAATTTATTTATTTATTTGACAGAGAGATACACACCGAGAGAGGCAACACAAGCAGAGGGAGTGGGAGAGGGAGAAGCAGGCCTCCCGCTGAGCATCCAGGAGCCCGATGCGGGGCTTGATCCCAGGACCCTGGGACCATGACCTGAGCCAAAGGCAGATGCTTAACGACTGAGCCACCCAGGCGCCCCTGACATTTATTTTTTAAAAAGCCACCAGACACTACGAAGTAAATATTTAATACTTGATATATTAAATTATCATATATTAGTTAAAACAATTAAAATGATATCCATTGATATAGACCACGGTTTGGCAAACTTCCTCTATAACTGGCCAGACAGTAAAGATTTTAGGCTTTGAGGGTCATATTGTATCTGTTGCAAGTATTGGCATACCTCCTTTTATTGCACTTTGTTAATACTGCATTTTTTACAGATTCAAAGTTTGTGGCAACCCTGAATCAAGCAAGCCTACAAGCAACATTTTTCTAAAAGGATTTGCTCACTTCATGTCTCTGCGTCACATTTTGGTAATTCTCACAGTATTTCAAACATTTTCATTATTATTATATTTGTCATGGTCATCTGTGATCAGTGATCTTTGATGTTATCATTGTAATTGTTTTGGGGCACTGTAAATCACACCCATGTAAGATAGTGAACTTAACAGACAAATGTGTGTGTTCTGACTGCTCCACTGACCAGCTGTTCCCCCATCTCTTGCCCTTTCCTCAGGCCTCCCTATTTCCTGAGACACAACAATATTAAAATTAGGCCAGTTAATAATCCTACAATGGCCTCTAAGTGTCCAAGCGAAAGGAAGAGTCGCATGTTTCTCACTTTATTTATTTTTGTCTCTCACTTTAAATCAAAAGTTAGGAATGATATGGTTAGTGAGGAAGACATGTTGAAACCAAGATAGATCAAAGAGTAATTTTGACTTTCAAGTTTTATTATTTAAGAAATACATTTTTGGGGGCACCTAGGTGGCACAGTCAGTTAAGTGTCTGACTCTTGGTTTCAGCTTAGGTCATGATCTCAGGGTCATGAGATCAAGTACCACGTCGGGCTCTGTGCTCAACACAGAGTCTGCTTGGGATCCTCTCTCTCCCTCTGCTCCTTCTGCTCGTGTTCTCGGTCTCTCTGAAATAAATAAATCTTTAAAAAAAAGAAATACATTTTTGTAAGGCAACAGCTGCTATAGATAGGATTTCTTTGATGAATCTGGGCAAAAAAACCCTGAAAACCTTCTGGAGAGGATTCACCATTCTAGATGCCAGGAAGAACATTCATGATTCATGGGAAGAGGTCAAAATATTAACATTAAGAGGAGTTTGGAAGTCACCCTCATGGGTGACTTTGAGGGATTCAAGATTTCAGTAGAGATGTGGTAGAAATAGCAAGAGAATTAGAATTAGAAGGGAAGCCTGAAAATGTGATTGAATTTCTGCCATCTCATAACAAAACTTCAATGGAAGAGAAACTGCTTTTTATGCATGAACAAAGAAAGTGGTTTCTTGAGATGAAATCTACTCCTAGTGTAGATGCTGTGAAAATTGTTGAAATGACTACAAAGAATTTAGAATATTACATAAACTTAGCTAATAAAGTAGCAGCAGGTTTTGAGAGAACTGACTCCAATTTTGAAAGAAGTTTTACTTTTGAATAAAATAGTATTGTATGCTATAGAGAGACCTTTCGTTAAAGGAACAGTCAATTGATGTGGCAAACTTCACTGTGGTCTTTTTTTAAGAAACTGCTACAGCCACCCCAGCCTTCAGCAAACACCACCCTGATCAGTTAGCAGCCATTGACAATGAGGCATGACCCTCCACCAGCAAAAAGATTGATTTGTTGAAAGCTCAGATGATTAGTATTTTTTAGCAATAAAGTATTTTTAAATTAGGATATATACGTTATTTTTTAAGACATAATGTTATTGCACACTTAAGAGACTACAGTATAATGTAAACATAGCTTTTATATGCACTATGAAACAAAAAAATTCATTTGAATTGCTTTATTGTGATATTTGCTTTATTGTGGTGGTCTGGAACCAAACTTGCAATATCTCTGAGGTATGTATGTCCTCAATTATGCTGTTCTAGTGCAAAACATACTATGACTAAACTCTGCTGCTGTGTACCATATGTAACTGAATGGATGTGACTATGTTCCATTAAACTTGATTTACAAAAACAGATGGCCAAATTTGGTCCATAAGCCACAGTTTGCCAATCCCTGACACAGAGTATTATATTCTAATATATATATATATTTTAATATTTATTTATTTATTTACTTGAGAGAGAGTGCATACACAAGTGGAGGGGAGGGGCAGAGGGAGGGGAAAGAATCTCAAGCAGACTCCTTGCTGAGCATGGAGCCCTACGTAGGGCTTGATCTCATGATCCTGAGATCACGACCTGAGCCAAAACCAAGAGTCGGATGCTCAACCAACTAAGCCACCCAGGCACCCCTCTAATATATTTTTAAAAATTATTTTTTTATCATTTAGAATAAATGACTCTCACTTCCCTAAACTAAGAAATTCATGTAAGAGAAGAATCTATAAATTAGACCAATTTTTAATATAGTCTTTAGAAAAACATGTACCATTTGTACAGTATTTTACCATGCTATGATATTTATCATCTTATTAGATCTTTACAGCCCAACCTCAGCGATAGGTATGCAGAGATTCCTTTTTCTATTAAGATTCAAAAAAGTTATGTGACTTGCTCATGGTCACAAAGCTAGGTGGTGGCAAATCTGGTAAGTGGAAAACTGGAAAATATGCTTAGGTCTCTTGACAAAAGTCTGTTCCCATTCCAATACACCACACTATTTCATTATTTTATGATAACACCTTCTATTTCAGACCAACATGTTTAAGGAAATTAATCTATAGCACAATAAATATCATTTCACTAGATATAACAAAAGACTTCTCTATCAAATGTAAATAGGGCAAAACTTCTCAAACCTCTTTCCTTTCTGGAGATGATACCTCTTGGTAGAGATGGACTTTTAGTTATTTTAGGACACTGTTGTTCTTGGACACACATTTTTGCTTCACCTTTCCCAGGATTTTCTGGTGCTAGATGACTTGCTGCTTCTGATAAATAAGTTAAACTATTGTCCTTCAAATGGGTCACTTCAAGTGTAGACTCACTGTCCTGTATAAACTTTCTGTCCTCTTTGGATACATCAATGACCTTCTGGTGTTTTTTGGAAAATTCAGCCAAGGACTCCAGTGCACTTTCAAATGTTGAATGGTGCTGAATCTGCTGCCGTACCCATTTAGAAAGTCCTAAGGAAAAAAGTAAACCCCAGGAAGTTATTATGCATTAAGAATACACTTAGATAATTTTTCTAATGAAGTAATCCACATCAATTTAGGATATATAGAATGATTCTCAATATTTTTCCTGCCTAAACATCTTCACATGTACACTCTGCTCATGCATCAGTAACATTTTTCTTTATATGCACTGATTATCAACTGGAGGGAGGAAACAGGCAGTGGGAATAGATTGGAAAGGGAGAAATGTATTATTTGTCAGTTTAGAATAACTGGGGAAATAAGGCAAATTTAATTTCATAATTCCCAACAAATATTGCTTATATTTTAATTTTAGGGAAGCTAGAAGTTGTAAACAACACAGTCTTCCATTCCAACTTTCTAATTTTGATTTCTTTCGTGAAAATAAATTTAAGATTCCAGTCTCATAGGTTTTTTTGTTGCCCTTCTCCCTCAATTCCAAGTATGTCTTAAACTATCCTAGGAATGAAAGGAATAACAATGTTATTAGGGACAAATCATGTCCTGTTTGACTATTTATTATATAATTATTTTTTAATATATAAATAATCAAGTTGTAAGGGATATGATTTGACCTGTGATATGTGAAACTGTATAACTTTGAACCATATTGACAGTGTAAGGTGTTTTGTTTCATTTCAGAATGAAATTCAAAATCAGATATTTGGACTTTAAGAAAATAAACTCTGCTGGTGTTACTAAAACTATCATCATCTTCTGAAGTCGTTTAAAAAGTCACTATGGTATTTTAAGCTAAAAGAAAAATAAGACAGGGCTTCAAGTTGCAATACATTCATTTCAAATACATTACTTTTTTTTAATGGAGCTTTTCTATATTTAATGCAAATCAAATTGTGTTCTATAGTTAATGCAAACTGAATTTAAACAAAGACTAGCCATCAAAAGGAATTTGTATGTTGTGCTATTATTGTCTAGATAAGAAGACTTCACACTTTTATGAATTTCAGAAAAAAAAAAAAAACCCCATACAGAAATAATGAAAAATTCTTAATTTAAAAAATCTCTCAGGGGCGCCTGGCTGGCTCAGTAGGTGGAGCAGGCGACTCTTGGTCTTGGGATTGTAAATTCAAGGCCTACGTTGGGTGTAGAGACTACTTAAAAATAAAATCTTAAAAAAAAAAAAACCCTCACCAAATCTGAACTATCAGGTAAAAATTTAACTTCAAGATTTTAAAATAAGAAAAACTTGTTTTCAGATTTTGCATTTTTTTTGTTGAAGTATAATTGACAAGAAGAACATTTTAATTTTTTAAAGATTTTATTTTCAAGTAATCTCTACACCCAACGTGGGGCTCAAACTTACAATTCCAAGATCAAGAGTCCTATGTTCTATCTACTGAGTCAGCCAGGTGCCCCTAGAAGAACATTTTAAATAAGCATTTCCCTTAAAGTTCTTTATTTTTGTTTGCTTGGGGAAAATAATTATATGGATTAAACATGAAACTTTCTAAAATTGAAAAACTTTAGTATTATAGTCACTTCTTTCATATTTGGAACTTTCTGTAATCAAAGAAAGCTTTTTCAGTGTAAAATGTCAGGTTGCTTTTGAAAACTCAAAGAATCTGAGCTCCACCTGCTGACTGAACGTAAGCACTTAACATTTTGCTTTGAGTTATGTCTGGACCTAAGCTCAATGGCTTCCTTTACATGGAAAGGGCAGAAAAGAGTGCTTTAATCCATGTGGATACATTTTAATACCAAACCAAATATAAGGCTCTGTAATAGAAAAAGAGTCCATACCCGCAGGTGGCTAATCTGAAAGAAACTTAAAATTTTGTATCTCTTCATCATAGTATGGTATGAACTTTTTAGCTTTAAAGATAATAAAGATGCAAGTATTTCCAACAGTTCTTTAATAACAGATGGATTCCTGGTATTGACTCTAAAGGGACTGTGTGACTGCTGAATAAAAACTCTAGGCACATAGTATTTGTTCATCTGAGTGGGGAAAAATGACCATCTACTTCATCTTGAGGCCAACAGTGGTGTTTGTGTTTTTTTCTTTTAGAAAATACTAGCTCTAATGCGAACTGTAGAACAGCTGAAGCATTTCTAAACAATCAACAAACTTCAGTATAATCTAGAAAGAAAGAATGAAGAATCCTAAGCATCCAAAGATGTGCTTATGTGCTTAAATGTAAACTTATTTCTTGGAAAATTCATTCCTGTGAACAGCCTTTTCCCTGACAATACTAAATAAATTATTATTCTGTTACTTAATTAAATCCCACATTCTATGATATTGAAGGATCCTAATTGATTAATACTTTGTTAGTAACTAACCAGATTCTCCTCTATAAAGATTTTTTTGTAAACACATAAGCATTAAAAGGCTAGATTTCCCATCAATGTGAATTTTTCCATGTCTGATCTAATAATTCAAATTCTGTCCAAAATTTTTCTTTAAAACTAGCAGTTATTAAATACCAAAGATTGTTATTAATTCTTACTCTAAGCCCAGTGAGAATCTTACCAGATATATATCGACTGGGATTACTCCTGAAACGATCATCCACTAGAATAAGAGCTCCCCAATCATTTCTGTGTCGAATACACCTATAAAAAAATAGGGAGAAAAATCAAACAAAAATGACTTTGAAAAAAAACCCAACAGGGTGCCTGGGTGGCGCGGTTGATTAAGCATCTGGCTCTTGGTTTCGGCTCAGTTTGTGATCTCAGGGTCATGACATCGAGCCCCATACCAGGCTCTGCCCTCGGTGTGGAATCTGCTTGAGAGTCTTTCTCCCTCTTTCATTCCTAAGATAACCATATGTTCTTATGGTACATTATTCTTTTTATAGATTGTTGGATTTGGTTTGCTAAAAAAATTTTTTAATTTTAAAAATTATTCAAGGGGTGCCTGGGTGGCTCAGTTGGTTAAGTGTCCGACTCTTGATTTCAGCTCAGATCATGATCTCAGGGTTGGGAGACTGAGGCTTGCGATAGGCTCTGTGCTCAGTGGGGAGTCTGCTTGGGATTCTCTCCCTTGAGACCTCCCTCTCCTTCTGCCCCTCCTCCCCATGTAATCTCTCTAAAATAATAAATAAATCTTTAAAAATTATTAAAAAAAATTTTAAGTGTACAATTTGGTGATTTTTAGTACATTTACAAAGTTGTGCAACCTACACCACTATCTAGCACACATTTTTATGTTACCAAAAAGAAACCCAGTGTCCACTAGTCACTCCCAATTATCCAATTACTCCCCCTATTCTCTGGCAATCATGAATATATTTTCTGTCTCTTTAATTTGCCTATTTTGGAAATTTCATGTAACTGGAATCATGCAACATATGGCGTATTGTGTCTGGCTTCTTTTACTTAGCATGATGCTTTCAAGGCTACTTCCATTGTGTATCAGTACTTCATTCCTTTTTACAGCTAAATAATATTCCATCGTATTTATCCATTCATAAGTTAATGGGCATTTGGGTTGTCTCCACCTTTTGGCTATTGTGAATAATGCTGCTATGGACATTTGGGTACAAATTCTCATATGAATCCAATTAGGAGTGGTATTGCTGGGTTGTACAGAATTCAATGTTTAACTTTTTGAGGAACTGCCACACTTTTTTCCCCAAGCACTTGCACAATTATACATTTCTGCCAGCTTTGTGTGAGATTTCCTATTTCTCCATACCCTCATCAACACTTGTTATTATCCATCTTTTTCATTATATGTACTCTAGGAAGTGTGAAGTGTCATTTCACTGTGGTTTTAATTTGCATTTCCTTATTAAGTAGTGATATTGAGCATCTTTTCATGTGCCACTTGTAGATATCTTTTGGAGAAATGCTTATTCAAATTATTGGTCCATTTTTAAATTGCATTATTTATCTTCTTATTGTTGAATTATAAGAGTTCTTTATATATTCTGGATACTACACCCTTATCAGACACACTTTTTGCAAATATTTTCTCCCATGTAAATTCTTTTCCATGTTTTAGTAGTGTTCTTTGAAGAACAAAAGTTTTAACTTTGACAAAGCCCAATTTATCTAATTTTTTTAGTTGTGCTATTGATGTCAGATTTAAAAAACTATTGCCTAATCCAAGGACAAGAAGATTTACACCTCATTAGTCTTTGACCCATCTTGAATTAACTTTTGTATATGGTGTGAAGAAGGGGACTACCTTCATTCTTTCGCATGTGGATATCCAGTTATCCCAACACCATCTGTTAAAAAAGATTTTTTTCCCTATTGAATTGTCTTGGCACATTTTTGGGGGTGGGGAGGCTTAAACAATAGGAATTTATTTCTCACATTTCTTGAGGCTGGGAAGTACAAGAGGTGTGAAATGATTTAGTTCCCTGGTAAGGCTCTCCTCCTGGCTTGCAGATATTAGCCATCTCACTGTGTCCTCACGTGGGTGGGGGTGAGACGAGGGAGAGGAAGAGAGAGACAAGTTCTCTGGTGTCTCTTCTGATAAGGGCACTAATCCCATCATGAGGGCCCCAACTGCATAACCTCATCTAAACCTAATTACCTTCCTAAGGCCTCATCTCCAAATAGCATTACATTGGGGATTAGGGCTTTCACATATGAATTTGAGAGGGGCACAATTCAGTCCATGGCAGGAAGTAAGAAAACTATATAGTATATGAGAAGGTACTAAGTATTAAGGGAAAAAAATAAAAAGGGAAAGAGAATAGGGAATGTTGGTAGGGGGTGCTAAATTTTAAACACGGTGATATTGAGCACTGAGAAAATATCATTTGAATACAGATTCTTCACAGGTAAGGGGATGAGCTGTGTATATATATGGAAGGGAAATATTCTAGCAGAGAGAAATGCAAGTGCAAGGACCCTGGAGAAAGAGCTAACCTGACATAGTCAGAGAACAGCAAGAAGCACAGTATACCTTCTTCAGTGTGGCCTCTTCTCTCCCTTTAGTTGTGGAGTTTGTTCTGTCAGTCCTCAGGTTGATTTCTGGGGTATTTAAGATGATTTGGTAGTTATCTAGTTGTCTTCATGAGATGAGACAAGCCTAGGGTCCTCCTACTCCTCCACCATCTTCTTCTCCCTCTGTCTTGGCACTTTTGTCAAAAACCAACTCACTGTAAATATGGGAGTTTGTTTCTGGACCTTCAATTCTACCCCCTTGTTCTAAATGTCTATATTATGCCAGTACAACACAGTCTCGATTATTGTAGCACTGCAATAAGCTTGAGGTTGAGAACTGCCAGTTCTCCAATTTTGTTCTTTTTCAGGATTTTTGTGACTATTCTTAGTTTCCTTCAATTTCCATGTAAATTTTAGGATCAGCTTCTCAATTTCTGCAAGAAATCCAGCTGGTAGTTTGGGATTGCAGTAAATCTCTGCAGATCAATTTGGGGAAATGTTGTTATTTTAACAATAAGTCTTCCAGTCCATGAAATTCTTCCATTTATTTAAAAATTTCTTTCAACAATATTTTGTAACTTTCAGTGTACAAATCTTGCATTTCTTTTGTTAAAGTTACTCCTAAGTAACTTATTCTTTTTGATGCTATTGCAAATGAAAATTTTTAAATTTATTTTTATTGAAATATAGTTGATACACAATTTTACCTTAGTTTCAGGTTTACAACATAGTGATTTAACAAGTCTATATGCTATACTATCCTTCGACAAATGTAGCTACTTTTTGTCATCATACAACACTATTACAATATGTAAATGGACTTCTTAATTTCATTTTTGGATTGTTTATTCCCTCTGTACACAAAGTGATTGATTTTTGTATACTGAATGTTTCTTGTAACTTACACTGAACTTATTTTATCATGAAAATGTGTTAGGTATTGTCAAATGCTTTTTTCTCCTCTTGAGATCACATGGTTTTTGTATTTTATTCTATTAATATGGCATATTACATTGATTGATTTTAGTTGGACCAACAAAATTGGTTGGATGTTGAACCAGCCTTGCAATCCCAGGATAAATCCTACTTGGTCATTGTGTATAATCCTTTAGTAAGTTGCTGGATTCAGTTTTCTACTTTTCTGTTGAGAGTTTTTGCATCTATACCCATAAGAGATATTGCGGTGTAATTTTCCTTTCTTGTGATGTCTTTGATTGGTTTTGGTAACAGGCAATGCTGGCCTCTAGAATACGATGATATGTGTTTGCCCTTCTATTTTTCATATGTTTGTAAAGGACTGGTGTTAATTCTTTAAATATTTGCTAGAACTCATCAGTGAAGGCATTTGGTCCTGAGCTTTCCTTTGTGGGAAATCTTCTGATTACTAATTCTTCTATCTCTTTACTTTTATAGATCTATTCAGATCTTTTTCTTGCTCTGTCAGTTTCAGTAGCTTGTGTTTTTCTATGAATTTGTCCATCCTATCTAAGTTATGCAATTTGCTGTGAAACAATTGCTCAAGGCATTCTCTTATAATGCTTTATATTTCTATAAGGTTGGAAGCAACATCCCCTCTTTCATTCCTAATTTTAGTAATTTAAATCCTTTTTGTATTTTCTCTTAGTCAGTCTAGTTAAAGGTTGTCAATTTTCTTTATCTTCTCAAAGAACTTTTGTTATCCTTATTTTTTTTCTACTGAACATTTTTTTTTTTAAGATTTTATTTATTCATTTGAGAGAGAGAGAGAGCACAACCAGGGGGAGAGGCAGAGGGAGAAGCAGACTCCTCACTGAGCTCGGAGCCTGATGTGGGCCTCAATCCAGGACCTGGAGATCAGGACCTGAGTCGAAGGCAGACGCTTAACCATCTGAGCCACCCAGGTGCCCCTCTACTGAATCTTCTATTCTCTCTCCTTTATTTCCATTCAGGTATCTGTTATCACTTTGATCTGCTTGCCTTGTGCTTGGCTTGCCTTTCTTTTTCTTTCTTTCTAAAATTTTTAAAAACTTTATTTATTCATGAGAGACAGAGAGAGAGAGAGTGGCAGAGGGAGAAGCAGGCTCCCCATAGAGCAGGGAGCCCAATGTGGGACTTGATCCCAGGACCCTGGGATCATGACCTGAGCTGAAGGCAGCCACTTAGCCAACTGAGCCACCCAGGCGCCCCTTGCCCTTCTTTTTCTAATTCCTGAAGGTAGGAGGTTAGATTATTGATTGGATTTTTCTTAAAAAAAAAAATATATATATATATATATATAGGCATTTACAACTATAAATTTCTCTATGAGCAATGCTTTCATTGTCTCTTCAAAATTTTGGTACACTGTGTTTTCATTTTCACTCATCACAAGGTATTTTCTAGTTTCTCTTATGATTTCTTCTTGGATCCACTGGTTAAGAATGTGTTCCTTAATTTCCACATATTTATGAGTTTCCCATTTTTTCTCCTGTTATAGATTCCCAGTTTCCCTCCACTGAGATCAGAAAAAATACTTTCTATGATTTTAGCCATTTAAAATTTCTTGAAGACTGATTTTGTAGACTAACATATAGTCTATCCTGAAGAATATGCCACATGCACCTTAGGAGGGTGGAGTGTAATAGATGTGTTAGATTTATAACCACTGGGTTATAGTGTTCAAGATTCACATTTTTTGGTTTTCTTCCTAATTGTTCTATTATTGAAAGTAGGGTAACAAAGTATCCAACTAT